ATAAGGTGGGCTTGAGTTTTGGAAAAGTTTAGACTAAACCACAGATGCCAAGGTTGACAACGTTGTTAGGTAGTGCTTTTTACTATTCTACAAGGGCAGTGTCCTTCTAAAGGATTTCCGTATGAATGTGTCAGGTGAACTTTTCCAGATCGTGGCCGCCTGTAACCCTCGAGGTGTACGTGAAATTGATCTCGCTGAGGAAATCACATTTTTTCGTCCCCGTATTGCTGAAGTTATGGAGAAAGTGGTGAGGCTTTGGACGAGTTCTTTGGAAAGAACTGTGGTTTGAATGGTCAAATTTCTGTAGTTCTTGCTCTAAGTAAAGATGCTTTTATGATAGCTTAGAGGAGATCTCTTGCTCTGAAAATGAAAGGTAGGAAGATTGTTAGCTGGTTAACCAGCAACCAAGACAGCTGGCATAAAAAACAAAACCTTTGAAAAGCGCGTTGATTTTTGACATACGATTTAAGAGGTTTGTGATGCGGAGGTGGTATAGTGGCAAATGGCACGCTTAATCAGCTCCCGTCCAGGCCAACCGAGCCTTCTCCCTCCGGGACCGTGATCTAATCACCAGTTGTGCAATTTCCAAATCCTTTCCCCCTCCAAATTCCAAATCGCGCTACTGAATGGCTAGAATCGCGAAGTGTGAATGCAACCTCAGCGGTGGGGCTACTTATGTATGGCGCTACAGCAGCATTTAGTGCCATGTTAGCTTTGGCAGACTGACGGATTTTCTTGTAGATAGCAGTAGATGGAAATTTCCTCGTGATTACTGTGGTTTAGTGAAGTGGCTTCTCGTATTTTTTGCATACCAGCCACTGGCATCATTGCATGAGAATGAATGGAGGTGTATTCAACGGCGTGATGCTTTAGGTTTTTCTCGGTATCGTCTGTAATGAAATCATAATTATCTCTATTATGCCACCTCCTCTTCCTATAATGTGATTCTGCCATCGGGTGCATGCAGGAAGCTGGTTCCAAGCTTTTTATATAATATTTTTATTGTACGCTATTTAGGAGACGAAACTGGCGAATGGTCAATTCCAAGCGACGTTCATGGTCGGCCAACCAGATCCTGCCGAAATGCAGAGTGGCGTTGAGTGGCCTATTGAGCTACGCGAACTACTTTTGGATCTTGAAGAGAAGGTACTGAACAAATACACCCTATGGTGTGTTTTAAGTTTGGTCGATACACTAGACAAATTCTGTTCAGATAGAACAGGGATTACTGGGTCGTCTGCCGTCTCACATTGATCGCCAAACTTGGCGTGATGTTTTACTGGATACAGGGGATATCACCACACTGATGGATCAAGATGTTGTCGTTAAAGGTGCGCAAGACGACGTGATCTGGACAAAAGATGAACTGCCGCGACTCACTGAAATTCAGAAGTTAGTTTCTGCCTTTCTTTGAACTTTTTGATGGAGACTGTATTTCCCTAATTCCTTCAAAATCCAGGCTCGCGGTGGCTTTTCTGCAGTTAGTGCAGTGCATCAGTCTGAAGTTCTTCCAGAAGCCCTTCAGCGTTACCAAAGTTGATGAAAGTGAGTTGAGTAAGAAGTAACTGAATTCACCGAGTGAAAAAGGTTGATGCTGAGGAGCACCACATCTTCGCTACAAGATGTGAGGCTCCGTTCATATTTGCGTCACCGTACGCCGGTTTTTTGAGCGTGGTGTATGCTGTTAGGTGATACTGAACAGCATACACCGTACGTCAGCGCCAGCGACTAGAAAAGATATCGATCTAGCGTGTGACGGTGTATGCCAGCCGCACAGTAACGTTTGAGCCGCTAGGAAACTATAGGTATTGATCTGGCTTACGCCAGCGTCTACCAGATAGAGAGTATGTCAGGGCACATCACCGTTGGGCATTCCCACAGAGGTTTGAGAATTTTTTTGGACGTGGATTTTTTCTTGGTTTTCATGGACACTATAAGACAAGAAGAGGTCATTTCTCTCTTGAGAAGAAATTCTGCGGCCCGTTAGCTGGCGGGGAATTTTCCGGTTCTTGACTTTTAGCGGTTTTTCCTGTTTCATTGTGCTATATTCCCCCGCTCGACAGCAAAATTGGAAAATTAGGGAAATTTCTTAAAAGCAGGCAGGACACATCATTGTTGGGACTTCTCCAATAGGGGCGACAGAATTTGGTCGGTTGGGGCGAGGGCCGCAGAGGGAGGTGAAATATCTTAGTCAGAGAGATTTTTTCACAGTTAATCTTTTTCTTACTTCATGGTCGGGCTAGAAGAATGGAACGAGTCGTAATTTGGTGTGAACTATTTTTCAGGAGTGGGTGAAATTTCGTCTTGAATTCACAGGCGCTAGAAAGGGAGGACGGAGGAAGAAAAAGTATTCGTCATTGCAGTGAAGAATTGCGCATCTGGGTGTGAAGCGGAGGAATTATTTATTGGTCTCACCCCCGACTCGATAGCAAAATCTAAAATAGACGAAATTGGGAAAACCTAAGAAAGGTGTAAGAAGCATTGGGAAGGAGGAGGCGGTTGGGGCCGTATCAAGCCACCTCTTAGGAGGACCGATAGAGCAAAATCCTCAACTAATGATATGCCCTGGCTATCATCCTACTTTCCATACTCTCCGCTGGTGGATGCTTGCGCACAGTGACGCTAAATCGCTAGCGCTAGATCGATATCTATATTTTTCTTGTCGCTAGAACCGCTGCTGCAAGCGGGCATACGTTGACGTACGCTAGATCGATACCTATACTTTCCTAGTCGTGGTATACATTCAAAACGCTCGAAACGCTGCCGTACGCTGACGCAAAGTATGAACGCAGCCTGAGCAACAGGCCATTAAAACAATTTGTTTTATCTAGCGAGTGGTAGATCAATGGCTACTGATGTCAAGAGGTTCACATTTTCAGCTGGCCGTACCATTGTTATGGCTACACCAGTATTCTTACGATGGCAACGAGCCCTTCTGATGTGCGATTCCATACCAGCTGTGTGCCTTTTCTTGTCAACTTTAGAACCAGCTATCATGTGGGATAAAAGTAGACTTCAAGTGAGTACTGCTGCTTGAAATTATCCGCTATTTACTTGTTTCAGTGCATTTTCGATATCGTTTAGGCGCGTTGCCGCGCATGTCGCCGTAAAGCAAATGCAGAAGCGTTAGTGTTGTGTGCAGACTGTAATAGGTGCTACCACTTCCAATGTGCGCGTCTTGGTGCTGGACCAGCACCATTGGACTGGTGCTGTGCTGACTGCAAAGCGATTCGACGGAAAATCGCCGCTGCTGAGAAGCGAAAGGCACAGAAAGGTAGTTGCAAGGTTTAAGAAAGAGGGGAATCTGGTATATACTGGATATACTTGTAGAAGCTGTAACTGTACAAACACCCGATGAGACATTTGACGACGAACATGTAGGAGACGAGAACAGTTTAAGTACTACGCTGGGTGAAGAATTGCCGTAAGTTTCATAACAATCGCTCTAGTCGATGTATGTTAGTCGGGAGTACACTGTATGTATTAGGCAAAGCAATGGACATGATACAAATGCCGTCGTCCGGACAAGTAGCGGTAGGACTGTGCGACGAGTGCAGTACACGGACAGTATTATGATACCTGATTCTGAGCCATCTCCACGTCCACTCAAGGTTTGCAAATTTTGATCTTGATTTGAAGGACCTTTTTTGGTATTCCTCTTATGCCGATAACTTGTAGTCATCCAAGCGACAGTCGACACGGTCGAATGGTTATTCACATAACGATTTTGTTTATGATGATATTGATTATGACAGTGAATCATCCTCTGTCTCACGGAGTAAAAGGAAACGAAGGAGTGAGTTGTGATGTGTGCTTTTGAAGTTTCCATGTTCTTGGCGGCAATAGCCTCTGTACCTCTTCTAAGACTCCTAACGTGTCAGCGTTTGGAGCTTGGATCGAATGGGCACCTAGAACTGCGAAGAATTAAAGAGCAATACGGTGGTGCTTTTCGCCTTACTAAGAGGCATCAAATGGTACTGAACGACAGGGCATATCTTTCGGTGTAGATTCGCAGTGAGAATGTGTTAGTCCCTGTAGGGAGGAGGATCATATTGGAGTTGGGAAAACTTCTCTTGAATGTGATTTTTCCTGTTTCACGCGCATTGTATTATATGTAACCCTAGTCGGCCGCGTCAGAAAGTCAGCCGTGGTAGGCCCCAGAGTAGGTAATGGGGGAAAGATGTCTCGTCTCCCCCTCTACGTACTCTGCAGCACATTCTTGGAGAAGTTTGATCAGATGCTGGGTCGATGTGAAACAGGGTCGTGCAGGGGGTATATGAGAAGAGAATCGTGACTTGCCGCGGCCGCACCGCGAAAGACTAGTTCTCTTGCTTAGCCGTTTGAATTTGAATATCAAGCGGACAGGAAGGGGTGCTGTCAGCGCTTCGTATCGTCACCTGTGACAACAATAGAAGATTTAAGAATTGGCCAAAACCACG